TATAACATCAACTGAGATAAATAATAAAATTAGATATTAAAATCAAGATGTATCTCACTGCATTACGCGAGTACCATTCTAGTTATGTTATAAAGCATTTAACAAAAACTCTTAAAAATTATTTTTTATGCATGATGTACCGTATATTGATGCATATTACATAAATTCGAGATTACAAGTAAATTATGCACAAGTACAACTTATTAAAGCTTCATTTTTGAATTCGTGTAACTAACTGCAGATAAACATAATAAAATAGATGATAAACATCTCATTTTAAAATCTAAAAAATCTAAAATATAATTAGAATAATCATCGAGTTCTAACAAAATAATTAGTTATTTATATTATTAAACCAAATATAAATTACTTTATTATTGAACCTAAATTAAATTATAATAAAAAAATTGAATTAAAAATTACACAAAAAATGAGTAATTTTAAATAATTAATTTGATATTAATATCGATATATTTTTGTTAAATTTTTATGATATCTTCAAATTTATATTTTATTAAAAAAATAAAAACATCATCGTTTTTTTAAAATCACATAAAACCATATTATAACATTGACTGAGATAAAAAATGATTTAAATAATAGAGGCTAACATCTTTTACCTCTATTCTTTTTAATATTTTAATATTGGGTTGGAAATGGATTTTGTGTTAAATATTTTTGGATTTAATTATATTTTTAAATATAATAAATACGTAAAAATTTTACGAATTGATTTTAATATGCACACTTTATATTATTATATCTTTAAGGTACAATGTGATATTACACGAGAGATTTTTCGATGCAACTATGTGGATTACCTTGCATCAGTATCGACTAAATGTTTAAATATGTACACAGAACATTTAGATTATAATCGTACTCGTGAATATATTGACTTAAATGATTTATAACATCACAAATGTTATTTTATCTCTAATAATGTCTTCTACTTGAAATTTTTACCTTTTCACTTTCCTCCCAAAACCCTAGCCTCCAGATAATTAGTGCGTAATAGTTAATTGAATGACAAGTAATGGTGTTTGTTTAAGCTTCTTCGTTTAGACCTGTTTGTTTAGCCCGTTTGTTTACGTTCGTTTAGCATGTTAACAAACAAACATAAACAAACACGAACACACCTAATTTCTAAAGGAACGAATACAAACACAAAGATTTTCGTTTGTTTACTGTTCGTTTGTTTGTTCGGTGAAGTTAAACAAACAAACATGAACAAACCTCTATTCGTGTTCGTTCGGTTCGTTTACAGCCATAGGTATGGATAGAATTGTCCAGTTGACAATATGAACAAAAATGAGGTCTCTTCTTCACAATCGTATTCTCTTCCAAAAAAAACTAAAACCTAATTTTTACGATTTTGAACCTTGCCATCAGAGTAAATTACGGATTTGGTCCTTGTAATGTCTTGATAATTATGAAATAAAATTGTTCGAGGCAAAAGTTTTATTTACAAACCTGATATTCGTTAATCTTAATTTTGACGGTTCTGTATATTTATATTTTTGTAAAAAAACCAATTATCAATAAATGAATCATATTTTAAACATATATTGCAAATATAACAACAACAAAAAATACATATTTTATGACACGATCTAAATAACTATTGAACGAATTTTATATCACAAGTCTAACAATATTTTTATAGAATATAAATAAATTTATATATATGACATGTTCAATTGCATCATGTTAACCACTTTTTTTATATTTTATTATAAAAGTAATGGGAAAATATGACAAATTGGACACATAAGACTTGAGATAGTGACCATCATACACCATATTATAATAAAATGGTAGGTATAATTTACCTTTTTATATCTATTTTTTATTTTATCACTTTAAATCTTTTTATCTCACCAAAGTGACCGTTTTTTATTAATTTATTTAATAATTTATCAAGATAAAAGAGAAATGTAACAAAATAAGAAAATGGTCAAATATTGTGTAAATGCACTAATAATCAGTGCAAGGGCTTGCGGGCGACGCGGCCGCGACCTGAAGTAAATCACATGTGATTCAATGGTTTTCTATTATCTTATTTGGTTATTGTTCTAGTATAAACACACTCTCTCTCTCTCTCTCTCTCTCTTTATATATATATATATATATATATATATATATATATATATAAAGAGAGAGAGGGAGAGAGATAAGGGTGAGTTATTATGCAACCTTTTACATTTGTACAATCAATACAACTCAATCTTAACCGTCTATTTAATTTGATAAATATGTTATTTCAAAAAAGTTTAGATTGTTTCTTAATATAAAGTATTGATCATAATTAATAAACTCTAGTCATCTTCCATAAATATTTAAATCATAATAAATGAACTCTCATCATTTCCATAAATATCTCAATTGATTGGATTGCATTGGTTGTATAAATGGTCATGGTTGCATTTGAAATATACCCTATATATATGTATAGACTTGGGATCATGTGAGACCAATGTTTTTTTGTGAGATCCCGTAAGACCAATTTTCAACCCTTGGATTAGATCTACAATCTGAACATTCATAATCACAAAATTGCCACGAGACTTCTCAATAATCACAAAATTAGACCATTAGATCATTATCTTATAAAGTTGATCAATGAACATAAATTAGTCTTACGGGTCTCACGAAAAACCCTTGGTCTCACGTGATAATTATGTGACTAAAATGAACACAAATAAAATCATGGGAAGTTAAAAAAAAAAAAAGATAAAAGTTTGATAAACGTCAGGTCTAGCTTATATTGATTGGTTTTCTTTTCTTAAAGACGAAGTTATTCTTTGTATGAACGTAATCCTTACTAAAATGGGTCACATAATCCAAAAATGCTTTGAGAAGTTAAAAGAGAATTCCGAAGTTGAAAGCAACAATTTACAAGTTTAGGGTTTTAAGTTCCGATTGAGATATAAATTTCAAACCGTGCTTCATGGTTAGTGTATTTATTATTTACGGTCGGTGTATATATAACAGATCTATAATTTATATGATTTTCAAGATTTTTAAAAAATCACCGACTCCTTTCTAATTGACCTAATAAGGTTATTGTCATTTATATAAAATGTTGTTCTAAACGGAAAATAATAATATTTAAATGAAAATTGAAATTCTTCTAAATATTATTATTTTAAATTTAATTATTATAATTTAAAATATATTATATTATTTCACCATTTCATGGGATATTCCAAGGATTCCAATTTCTTTAAGAATTCAATTACAGTTTCATCCAACTAAACGTGTGGTCAAATTCCATTACATTTTCATCCAACTAAACGTGTGGCCGAATTCCATTTAGCTTCTAACCAATTTCTTCAAAGTTATATTCTTTTGATGGTTTATAATTCCACCAAATTCAATTAATCATTTCGATGAAGTCTTTTAATTTTTTTTTTTTGGTTGATTTTGAGTGATTTTTAAAAGTTTTTTTTTAGTTCATTCCAATAGACGTTTTCGGTTGATTTTGAGAGATTTTTCCAAATTTTCCGGTTGATATTATTTGTATTTTTTTCCGGAGCACCGTTTAAAGTTTAGCTGGTTCATCTTTTATACTCCAAAATGAATTTTACTTGTGAATTTCAGTTGAACAAATGCACGAGACCTGCTTATTCAGACATGAATAGGTTTGTTTGCCAACAAAAAATTATAAGCTACAAAGATGAAAATTATACTCCTATGTTTCAAAAACATAAGGACAAATTCTAAGATTTGCAACTTTCAATTTTATCATCGTGGTTTGCAATTTATTGTTGTTTTTGTCCTTTAAAATCAATGTTCGGTGATTTACGGTTAAGTATCAAAGACAAAGCAACGGTGAATTGTAAGTCATAAAGACGAAAACAACATAAGCTATAAGAGCATCTCCAACCATATCACCAGAAGAAAAAAAAATAACAGATATGGTGGGCTCATAAACACTAAAAAAACTCAACTCCAATCACATTCTAAAATAACACCAAATTTTTGGACCCCATATTAAAATAACATATTTTATTTACTATTTTTAATAAAAATAATTATAATTTGTAATAGATATTATAATAATAAATAATTAGTAATTAATTTATTTAATGAAGAACTGTTAAAATAAAAAGAATAAATTTTTAATTAATAAATTTTATATTAAAAAAGATTACATTAGTTCAAATAGCACAAATTAAAAAACACATAAATAATAATAATTCTCCGAGTTAGTATACTCATCAGAAGAATCTTACCAGACTTTTCAGAAGAATTTTACCAGTATGTTGTCGAATCTATCTTCATTTGGAGTGAACTGAAAATTTTGTGTATAAATAAGGGGTGATTCGGTAAGCTAAATCACACACATTTTCAAAAAAATATTACCAAACTTTTCATAAAAATGTCTTCAACGATTCGAAGTTCATTCTACAAAGACAACGAAGACATACATCTATGTCATTGTTATATTGATATAACTCAAAATCCAATAATAGGTAGAAACCAAACAAAAGATAAGTTTTGGTCAAGATTAGAAACTCAATATCATGCAACCGAACCGTTCACAACCAATCCTCGACTAAGAAGATTATTGGAAATGAGAATGTCTTGCATTCTAAAAGCTGCCAAAAAATTACGAGGATGTATCAATCAAATTCAAATGAGAAATCCAAGTGGTGCTTCTGAACAAAATATCGTAAGTATTTATTGTTTTAATTGATCATTGTTTTATTAATTTAAATATAGTGTGTATTTTTCATAGATGAACAAAGTGGTACCATTCAAATTAACCCACCGGCAAATGTTTAGTGATTTTGCTGTTCGATTGAAGCCATGAAATTTGTCGTTCGATTGAAGAGGCTATTAGCAAATGAAAAACATAAATTTGAAAGGGGATGAAACTTGTAATCATCAATAAACCACAGGGAGAAAAAAACGTAGTTTACTATCCTCTTCTTCTAGTTTTTCTTTGTGCATCAACAAAATATCCGCCTCTTTCACCATTGTCGACCATCTCATTTTGATCCCTCTTTGTTCATTAGACTCCGAACTGTGAGTCAGTGAGGGAGTCGGTCGGCAATCGCCATGGCTGTTGGAATGCACAATTACGTGACTCCTACATTAAACCCTAACCAAAAGGGGTTCTCTTTTTCTTCACCTTTTCTAAGAACTCAACTCTCTGTTGGTCGTGCCTTATCTTCTTATTCATTTCCCTCAATCAAATATCCATCTTTTTCATATTCAAGAAGAAACCAACTTCCTAATTTCATCAAATGCTCTGTTTCTGAAGCTGAGGCCACTGAAACCGTTACCGGTATAGTTTCATATGTACTCTTGGTTGCTCTTTGCGTAATTGGTTTTAATCTGTTGTAATTTATGGGAATATCTTGAAATTTTCGTAATCTTTAGTATTTGTTGATCATATCAAATTATTATCAGTGTCTCTCCTGCGAGTTTCTATTGCACCCTTGTTGCTCGATAAAATGTCAAACACAAGAACACGTGAGTTGCAACATGAAGCTAATCCATGGCTGGTTGCTTTTGTGCATGGCTGGTTGCTTTTGTGGTGTGTTGATACTCAGGGGGTCGTTTACTAAACGCCTATGGGGTAAGCGAATACCAATGTCACTGTCCTTACCAATTGAACATGAATCCTACCATGTGTAAAGGCAAGGCCCGAGAGTATTCCCCGGTAAGTAAGTGAGGAAAAAGACTCTTACCAGTGAGCACTTACTGAGTTTAAGATGCTTACCAGCAATCCATTTTGATGGCCGAGAATGTTACATGACAAGGTAAATGCGAGTGATGTTTCTTGCTGGTAAGCACTTATCCGGTAAGTGTTTGGTAAATGGCCCCTACATATCCATAAATATGTGAAACGGGCTAATGCAAGAAATAACAACTTATTTTTATAAATTTTCTTATTTTGTACTTTCACTTTTTCTTATTACAATTTCAAATTCTTTTTTATCAGGACAATGGGTAGAAAAATCTACCCATTATAGCAATGAGTAACTTTTGATTTGAATTAAGATGAAATGGCACAAATGTAAGTTGCTATACTCAGAAATGGTAGGCTCTTTGGAAGCTGTACACATGCCTCAAATGCATCCATGTTCTATCTCCTGTACTTCATGGCTCAATTTTGTTTCCAGTTTTTTAAATGTTCAGGAAACTAGCTGATAAGCTAGTCGTTAGTTGAAAAACTAAACTAGTCACTTTTGGTAATAACTAGCTGAAAAGTTGGATGACAATGTAAAATGACCTAAAAGGCCATATGAAAAATCTAATTGGAAAAATATAAGGGGCATAGTTGGAAAAAAAATCCCCGGATGCTTTTTGAAACGCTACTTTAAGTAGCCTTTCAAAAAGCTAGCTTATATTAACCAAACTGGGCTTTTTCAATAAGCTAAAAGATAAGTTAGCTTACAGGTGCCAATCATGGACTAAGTTGCAGCCATTGGTTGAATTGTTGAAACATAAAGTTCTTGCTGATGTAGTTGATAACATCAGGATTTCAGCTGTGCATTTGGTAGTTTTGGTTCACTTTTATACCATCATGCTTCTGTTGCTGCAGAGAAGAAGATCACATTAGTGAGGAGAAATGACATAAGGAATATTGCAATTGTTGCTCATGTTGATCATGGAAAGACAACTCTAGTGGATGCAATGTTGAAACAAGCAAAAGTAAGCATATGATTTCCATGCACCTCTTCTTTATTTTAAGTTTTGTATCAAAATTGTAGTTTTTGGAGTTCATAACTGTTATGGGAAGTACTATATATCAAAATTGTGGTTATATCTATTGGAAAGTATCGATCTAGACATGATTCTAGGCTTCTAGCAATAATGTTGGCATGGCATTGTTAAATTGGAAATCTCTTTGTGTTACAAGGCTTAGGCTATGTTTGGTAAACTAGGTGATAAGTTAGTTGTTGGCGAATAAGCTAGCAGATAAACTAATCATGTTTGGTAAAAACTAGTTTATAAGTTGATGAAAATGTAAAATGACCTAAAAGAACATGTTACATAATATTGAAAAATAGATTGGAAAAATATGAGGGAGATAATTGGAAAAAAAACCTTGGATCTTAATGAAATGCTACTTGAAGTAATTTTTGAAAATGCTAGCCTATGGCTAACCAAATGGCGATTTTTCAATAAGCTCAAAAAATAAGTTGACTAATGGTTGCCAACCATGGCCTTAATATCATTATATTGAACTTACTCATTGAAGCTCACTGCTCATCTCCTTGTGACGAATTGAAATTTTGTTACTCTTTTGCAGGTATTTCGTGATAATCAAGTTGTGGAAGAAAGAATAATGGACTCAAATGACTTGGAGCGTGAGAGGGGAATTACAATTCTCAGCAAAAACACATCTATTACCTATAAAGATACGAAAATGAATATCATTGACACTCCGGGCCATTCTGACTTTGGAGGTGAAGTAGAACGTGTGCTTAATATGGTGGAGGGAGTTCTTTTAGTGGTAATCCCTCTTAAGCTCTTTTCTTGACGATATGTGGTTATTAATTTTTCTTGCATTTGCTTCAAGAAACTCTGACTATGATATTCTTCATCAGCATTTATCAATGGTTTTAATCTAGTTCTTGAATACCTGCGGCAAGTGGTGATTTAACATAAATATGGTTCCCCGTACTTAGGTTCAGCCGTCTAAATGGTGAACTTGGGACAATTAATAATAATATAATGGTTTATATATTTGTTTGGGTATCTGGTTCAGTATCTGGCGTAAGTTCAGTATATTCTCTATGTCGAAAATTGAAGTTCGTATCTCAAACAACCTTGAGGGAAGCTCAACCGGCAAATAAAGGCTAGGCCTTGGGGTTCCTCCCCATTGGTCGCCAGTTTGAGTCTCTCAGGGAACTGTGGATTTTCCTGATTCTCATCTAGGGGGACAAATGGGATTAGTCGAGGTGCACACAAGCTGGGCCAGACACCCATGGGTATTAAAAAGAAGTTCATATATCAAATATTATAAACCGTAGGACCATATTCAATTTTGTTGTTTGAACATGAGAATTAGAACTCGAGTTGTGTTATTGCATCTGCATTTGGATTTAGCTACAATGTTAGAAAACTGCTTTTTTGGATGGAGCAATGACTGAATCATGATCTTTTAATGCATTGTCTATAAAACCGCATGAAGAAGTGTTGAAGGATTAAGTGGTCTCAATGGTTTTGAAGCTTATACAAAATTTACAAGTGTGTATAAAACATCTTTCATAATGTATATATACCATTTAACTGTTTAAAACAAAGTTTCATTTGATAATATGGAATTGATTTATGTTCACTAATCGGTATATGATGAATCATGAGATGGAGTCTTGAATTTGCGAGTGCTGGTACATGTAGTAAATGAAAAAGATATTAGCAATTTGCAATTATTTGGTAAACATAAAATTATTGCTACATAGGTGATTTATAATACAACCATAAATAATAAAACTGAGAAATTACTTGTATACTTTAGATACTCGATGGAGGAAAGGAAAAATGTGTAATTTTGTCAAAGAAAGTAAAATTATGAAAATTGAAAACAGTTCAATCAATAACTAGTTACACAAGATTAAATGCTTAAAAGAATCGTTCTTGATGTACTGAATATGATTGAAGCAACTACAAAATATTTTACTTAATTAAAAATTAATTGTATTATATAACTATAACATTTATAAATAAGAAACTAATAAGAAACAAGAACTAACAATATAAAAAGTGAAGTAATAAACATACATCTCAAGAACACAATAGAAAAGAAACAACTGAAAAGGGGAAAATGAACCATAGAACTAGAAAACGATCTAGGGGAAAATAATCACAAAATAAAATGAAAAAGTCCAACAGTTGATATGTTGCCTTCGCTAGCGACTTCTTGTACATGCTTATAGTACTGATGTCTAAATATGCTGTTTGTTTTCAGGTTGATTCTGTTGAGGGCCCTATGCCACAAACAAGATTTGTTTTGAAGAAAGCTCTTGAATTTGGCCTTGCTGTTGTTGTTGTTGTTAATAAGATCGATAGATCTTCTGCTCGTCCAGAATTTGTCATCAATTCAACCTTTGAACTCTTCATTGAACTAAATGCATCTGATGAACAGGTACTTCCTATCGTCCCACCCCAATGATACACACCCCGTTTACCCGACTTCTCCAAAAAGTTTGGAAGGCAACTTGGTAGGCATAATGTATGGATGTCCCACAGGCCCCTGGTTTTTTTGGTAACCATGAGTGTCCGGGTCAGAATGCTCACACCTCAACTAACCCCATGGGGCTCTGAAGATAATAGCAAGGAAAATCCCCAGTGGCCCTGAGGAGACTCGAGCAGGGTCCCTATGGGACCCCTGGTGCTCTTTGTGTATGATGAAAAATGGGCAGAAACTTCTTTTGATATCATCACTCGATGTTTTTAATACCTATTTGTTAAATTTTTAGGAGTTTGGTGCGTGAAGCAATTAGGAAATTCTGTGTAACAGATAAAATTGTCAATTTTGTTGCAGTGCGATTTCCAAGCAGTATATGCAATTGGTATAAGTGGAAAAGCTGGACTTTCTCCTGATAATTTGGCCGACGATCTTGGACCACTTTTCGAGACAATAATTAGATGCATACCAGGACCGCGCATAAAGAAAGATGGCTCACTTCAAATGCTTGTTAGTTTTGCTTATCCCATTTGTGCTCCTTTCCTCTTATATATTTCTTTTTTCAACTCCCTCTCCTGCTTTGTTGTGTCCGTACCTAATTATGCCATGGTGATGGAAAAGGAAATGTGGGATCATACTTTCTTAATTGCATTTGTTGTAAAAAAACAAAAAAACCAACCTGAAGATAAGGTCGTGGGGTAAGATCTACGTAGACCTTACCTCTTCCTCAAGAATCAGAGAGGGTTTTTCTAAGAAGACCCCGGCTTGCGAAAAGGGTAAGTAGGACAAATGGAAACCACAACTGAAAGCCCAACATTTGGGAAAAAGGGTTTTCTGACAACATGATTATAAAAGAATGCAAAGATCTTACGTGGCTAAAAAGTACACGAAAGTGTCCATTGCATTTGTTGTGAGATCTTCAATTTTCTTTTGCTGCTTAAGCATCAATGGCTTACACATGATGGCCCTAATGGTTTTTGAGTCCATGTAGGTCACGAGCACCGAGTACGATGAACACAAGGGAAAAATAGCTATTGGACGCTTACATGCGGGGGTTCTGAATAGAGGCATGGATGTTCGTGTAAGTCTTGCTGTAGCCAATTTACAGTCTTTTAACTTATACAATCATTTTAACTCCTGAATAGTGGTTCATTCATTTAAATTTTAACGTTTCTTGCACACTTATTTATTCCAAGTGTAATCAATTTAGAAGTCGATCTTTCCCTAATAGGGGAATGTTCATTTAGGAACCATAAATATTTTGAGAACCGTGAGAACCAACTATTCATTATGAATATACATAAATATTCATGAATATTATGCCTTTTCATTCATGATATTCATCATGAATAGTTGGTTCTCACGGTTCTCAAGTGAACCTGCCTCTTCTTTCATAATTTTCCTACTGAAGCAAACTAATTCCCTCATTCCTTATGTTGTTACGACATTTCAGATATGCACATCAGACGATGCCTGCAGATTTGGAAAAGTCAGCGAACTATTTGTGTTTGAGAAATTTTATCGGGCACCCGCAGAAAGGGTGGAGGCTGGTGATATTTGCGCCGTATGTGGTATTAATGATATTCAGGTAGCTCTGCAGAAAAATCAAATCAAATTATACAATGTCGATGAACGCAAAGGAAACCTCACCTAAACAAGGTACCAAGTAAAGGGCCTTTTTCAAACTATTTGACCAAATATAACAATATGGATGCATATTATTAAAGGAATCTTTCTTCGTCCATTCATTTGAAATCGGTTTAACATTAAAGGGCTTCAATTTATTGTTTATTTAATACAAGATTTGCCTCTCTACCCCAAGGGGTAGAGGTAAGCTTAATGTATTTCGTACCCTCCACAGACCCTACTCTGTGTGGGGTATACCAGGTTCGTTTGGTTTGGTTAATACAGGATTTGAATATTGAAACATTCTTTTGAAGTGATTAATTTGCTGTCTTTACTCAGATTGGGGAGACGATTGCCGATAAGATGGATGGGAAGGCATTACCTGCCATTAGGGTGGAAGAGCCTACAGTGAAAATGGCTTTCTCAATCAATACTTCACCATTTGTTGGCCGTGAGGTATGTCGTATGAAAAGCATACAACTATTTGTGTTCAACTTATGGGTATCCCTTCGTATACTCCCCCTGCCCCATAGATAAACACCTGACTTTGCACCTAGTAGAACTTATGTTTTGGCTATTATTCAAATATCTAAAATGTCAAGTCAATGATAACATCCTAAAATAAAAACTTTTGCCACTTCCATTGGATGGAGAACATTGCTTATTTTATGAATATTTTTTCGTTCTCTTTTAGGGAAAGTATGTTACTAGTAGAAATTTAAGAGACAGACTCTACCGTGAGATTGAAAGAAATTTGGCCATGAAAGTTGAAGATGGTGAAACCGCGGATACGTTTCTTGTTAGTGGACGTGGTACTTTACACATTACGATACTCATAGAGAACATGTAAGAACGCTACATGACCCTACCTCTGCATGGGGTTTACTGTGTTTGTTTGGTTTTATTTACATATGTATGTGTTTTAGGCGAAGGGAAAATTATGAATTCATGGTGGGACCTCCGAAAGTAATTAACAAGAGAGTTGATGACAAGTTGCTTGAACCTTATGAGGTACCGATTTTGAATTATTTTCTTTTGTTCAATATAAATATGCTATTTACTCTTCTAACATTCACCAAAGGGTCAGTGGCCAGAGGTATTCGGGTTACCGGTAGATCCTAGCCTCCCTGGAGGCCAAGGGTGAGTCTTGTCGTATATAAAAATTATATACTTCAAAACTTTTCTAAAAATCTTGATGTATGCACAAGCATATACACTTTGTGGCGTTCTTACATTCTATGGAACGGATATTCTTTTGTGGTGTCCATGTTCTCGCTGCTTTAGCGTAGCTGGTAAGGAGGCAGGCATCTTTGCAGAATGAGTGGGAGTTTGGGGTTCGACCCCAAGCACCATCCACCTGCCCTTGAGACACGTGATTTACCTCCTTGCGATGGCTGTAGGACCAGTACAGTGGGGGAGCTCGAAAGGGTAGTGTCATTCCCAATTTGCAATGTTTGAGGATATTTATTTAATGGTACAAATACAATCCAAAGTTAAAGTTTAATCATAATACTTGCAGATTGCCACCGTGGAGGTGCCTGAAGAACATATGGGGTCGGTTGTCGAACTTCTTGGTAAAAGACGTGGACAGATGTTTGATATGCAAGGGCTCGGGTATGTGCATTACTCTTGTTGGTCTTTTATGAATTTTGATGTATATTTATATTTATATACGACAAAACTCACACTTCTCACCTTTGCCGACTTGATCCCTTGACCTCCAAGGAGCTTTTTAATCTACCGCTAACCCAGTTACTGCTGGGCCAGTGACCCTTTGGTGGTCTTCATGAATTTTTTGGTAGTTGACTTGCAAAACGTTATTCATTACTATACGATTTTGTTCCATTTTTTTATCATATAAACAAGACCAACAAAATGTAGTCTTGATTACAAGCATCCATTTGTAAATATGATATTTCCCTTCTCTAGCTCCGAAGGAACAACTATACTCAAATACAAGATACCGACTCGTGGACTCCTTGGTCTGAGGAATGCAATTCTGACTGCATCTCGAGGAACAGCAATTCTCAACACGATTTTCGACAGTTATGGACCATGGGCTGGCGATATGTCGACCCGTGATCTTGGATCCTTGGTAACTACAATCCTAGAAACTATGAAAGCATCTCCAACATAATCTCCAAAAAAAATTGGAGTTTTTCTTGCTCCAGTAGTCTCTAAAACATCCTCCAAAATGGAGAAAATATGAGAGAAGAAAATTTTCTTCACTTGTGAAGGAGAGAGAAGAAATCTCCAAAAATTAAATTTTAGAGGACACAGAATATAAAATTACCATTTTATAAAAAGTTTGTTAGGGTACTAAACGAATTGGATCTTCTAAAAATATAATTATTGTTGGAATCTCTAAAATGGAGAAACTGTTGGAGCTGAATGTAAATTTCTTCTTTTCTTTTGGAGAAATTATAGAGAAACTGTTGGAAATGTTCGTGCTTCCTTGGTTGCACAAAAATAGCAGCATTTCTTTTTCTGGAAGCTTTTTGTGTTTAAATAACTTTTTTGTCCATTGTCATCACTGCATATAGGTTGCTTTTGAGGACGGAACGGTAACTTCTTATGCTCTAGGTAATTCTCAAGAAAGAGGACAATTATTTATCAGACCCGGAGCAGAAGTTTACAAAGGTCAGATCGTTGGCATTCATCAGCGACCCGGTGACTTATCGCTGAACGTATGCAAAAAGAAAGCTGCTACCAATGTGCGTTCAAACAAGGAAGTATCAGGTAAGTAATTACTGATCCCTCATCTATAATTCATTCTCTTTTCTTAAAAGATTATCGTTAGCCCCCGTGTGTAGCGCAGTTGGTTCTGGGGTGGTATACTTGCACAAACAGGCGAGGGTTCCAGTGTAGGAATCTGTAGTCATAGTTCCTTTGGGGACTGGGATCCTTGTGGAAACGGGCTCTTAAATCAACCACCTAGCGGGCCGTTTTGTACAGTTGATTCCAAGGTGGTATGTTTGCACAAACAAATGAGCATTTGATGACAGCTATAGTGTAGAAGTCACACAGCTTTTGGGGAATGGGCTTCTTGTGGAAACTGTTCTCTTAAACCAGCCACCTAGCGGCCCGTTGTGTACTTGATTTGCCTCTCATATAATACTTTTGGGTCACTCGAGGTTTGCCGATTAAAAACCCTTTTGCACAAAAAGACAATACTTGCGTTCAATCATTCAGTTCCGGTCATACATACACGAATTTAAAGCTATTTTTGTCATTTTGATTGGCATATGCAGTTGTTCTTGACACACCATTGGATTACAGTCTAGATGATTGCATCGAGTATATCCAAGAAGATGAATTAGTGGAAGTGACTCCCAAAAGTATACGAATGTGCAAAAATCCGAAGATGAACAAAAAGGCTCGGTGAACACAATCACAAGATCACCAAAAAGAGTCGTTGGACGCTAATGGTTTATTAACTCCGTCGAGGTTTTGGCATCGGTGCACCTCACACCGTCCATGCTAGCTCCATTAGGTAGCGTATTAACATTGCATCCAACCCTCCTCAGACCCTACCTCTGTGTGGGGTATATCGTGTTCCTTAGATTATTCTTCATACCCATCTCTCACTAGTGAAATAAATCGTTTGTAGCGTATGATATAGCATCGGTTGAGTTTTCTTGCTCATTCTGTAGTCTGTAATGGATGTATATGATTGTCGTGAATACGATAGGCTTATCATCGGGGACACTTATTGTGGGTAGTGATGAGGAATCGTTTACTAGAACTGTATTTGCGGATCTTAATTTCGATATTTGATACAAGATATACAAAATATTGCTCATTTGTAGAGTAATTGGCTGTTTACCCAAATGCTTGCCATGTAAGTGCTTACCTATAAGAGTCAACACTATAATTTATTTCGATGAGTAAGATTTTAGTACATCAAAATATATTGTATGCAATAATTTACTGGGTAAACGCTTACCTGGGTAAGAGTTGTAATCTTCACTTACCAGGTATTTTTGTCTGGATAACGGCTGTAAATTAAAATAAAAAACCATTTTTAAATATTTTAATAGAAAATAATGTAGTTTGTAAATTGTTGGAATAATAAATGTGGGAATGGGATAAGCGTGTTTTTTAAAATACAAATTGCCAACTTGTTTGATTCGGAAGACAAGAGGAAGATGAGATATTGTTGTACCATCGGTTTGTTTGATTGTACGTTGACTTTTAGTCAAACTTGACGTTCCAGAAGGAAACTTTTTGTTTTAAGTCAAACGGGTCGGTCCCAAAGACTTGGTATGCATTAACCAAACACAAAATAACCAAATCTTTATAATTAGATTAAAAATATATTTATTTTACGGTGACTCCGGACTATTTGTAAAACATGTGGTCGTCTTGGGATTAGTCGGCTCGCATAGTAGGTTGGATAACTAGGTTAATAAAAAAAATATTTTTAATAAGTTTTTTAAAATAAAGATTTCGAGAATTTTTATATTAATATATTTTCTAAAGCTTTTTAAAATATAAAAGTAAGAGAAAAAGAGCATAATGTTTTGAATTTGAATTTTTTTTAAAATGATTATCTATAAAATAAAATTTACTTTTTATTAGTGAAAATTATTAAATATTTGATGATAAATAAACGTTTGTTTTAACAAAATATCCGTTATTTTTTACCTTTTTTTTTATTAGTGAAAATGATGGTGATCTTACGAGTTCGTGGAAGACTGGGCAATACGCGGAGAATAAGTCAACGGACGGCGGGAGAAAAATAATTATTTAGAGGGTCAAAACCTGAAATTCGCAGCCAAACTTTATTTCCATAACACGGACTTTTCATGTTGTGTACTAGAAAACGCCCTCAATCCACATTGGTTTAGGAAGTAGGGTGGACACCTCATCTCCATTTCTTTCTCAAACGTGTTTATATATATATATATATATATATATATATATATATATATATAGGTTGGTTATTATATAATTCTTGACATTTGTGCAACCAATACAACCCAATCTCAATCGTTCATTTCATTTGATGAATATGTGATTTCATAGAAGTTTTGATTGTTTTCTAATATAAAGTATTAATCATAATTAATGAACTCTATTCATATTCCATAAATATTCAAATCATAATAAATAAACTCTCATCATTTCTATAAATATATCAATTAATTGGGTTGCAAGGATTGTACAAATACACAAGATTGTAAAAGAAATATACCATATATATATACATATATATATATATATATATATAAATATGACATGAATTATCATGTAATAAGTAGAGTTAAGATGAAAAGTCTAGAAAAATATCTTTTGATATTTCATTCTAATGTGCATTTAAGGTTGGATTCCAATGAAAAAAGAAGTTATCATAAGAAGAGATCTCCACTCTTTGATCAATTCTAATTGAATATCAACAAGACAACAACAATAAGGTGCACCGAGATGCACCGAATCAATTCTCTTTTTAAAACGCAATTCACAGGCATGCATAAGATTAAAAATGATCAAATATTCATACTTATTTTTACGCTTTCCACTGTAACATTAAAAACAAAAAATAAAAGAGAGTAAGCCTCCTATTTATTTGCAAAGTACACGTGAGAAATGGCGGCCAGTCCATGTTGACCAAGCACAATCACTATGCTGCCACGTCGGCGGCTAGATGCCGAGGCCGCTAGCCGGCACCTTTCTTTAAGGTAAATAATTATTCACATGTCCCCAGCCTTTCTGTATTTACATTTACCCCCTTAACCTTTATTTTAATTACTCTTTTGCCCTTCAATTAAAAAATCACAAATTAAAATTTGAAAAATCTAAATCAATTATTATTATAACCTTAATAATACTTGATTAATGACATGTTCATAGTCTTTTAGTCAAGAAAAATAATACTAATATTTTACTTTGTAACAACGTATTTAAACCAATAATTATACTTTAAAAAATACAAAGCATATATCGTGATTATCTACGAGAATACTGAATCATGTGGATATACATTTTTACAGTGTAAAAAACCTGCTATGATAATACATATCTATCTGACGGATTAAAAAATCTACCACTGAGAATAAGTAAAAAAACAAAGTCATTATGGTTGACAAGAATGTACAAAAATAACCATTTGACTTATTAATTTTCAAAAAGTTGTATGTATTCTTATCAGTTACAGTTCTTTGTTCAATTTAAAATAGATGGCAGTGATTAACATAGTTACATCATAACCTTTATAAACCTAATATTGCAGGTTTGCTGTCTTTTCTTAGTAAACATATATAGTAGTTCCTATTTTTAGCTTGTGGCTTAAAAAGCTAAAATGGTTCGATAATCAACGTTTTGAAAATATTTTAAGGTAAAAAACGTTAAGATGACCTTTAAAGCAAGAACAAGACAAAAAAATTGACAAACATAACCTTATAATCAAACGTCAGATATAACATTAAATGGCAGTAACTGTATCAAGATTAACATCCATTAATGCTTGTTTTAATATCAAGGTGTTATTGATTTAAATGTTGCACATGAGAGCAAGGTTTGACAATGAAAAGAAATTAAAGAATGAATCGTGTGTAAAATATACTTTAATTCCATTTTTATTTTGACAGACACGGTTTAGAAAAGATACAGTTAACGATCTACAGTTTAAAAAATGTCTATTTTTTAAAAAACAGGTTAAGTTTTATCTATGTCACACTAACACCACATCAACAGTGGAGGTTCTAATATAGTAAGGGGTCGTTTACCAATTTTTTTGGTTAAGTGTTGATTTGGATAAGAGGTCTAACCGAAGTAAGTGCAGATTGTATTTTCTTGTTTACAAAACATTTTGTTTTTTTCTTCCCCACCTATTTATCTTTGCCCAAAACCCTAGTTCCCTTGATTCTCTTTGCCACCCTCGACCGGCCGCCGCTCGCCCTTCTGTCACCGTCCAACACCTTGAATCGGACATGGCCACCGATGGTGCCAGCGTTCCTCTTCCCCACCTATTTCTCTTTGCACAAAACCTTAATTCCCTTGATTCTCTCTGCCACCCCCGACCCATAGAAATGGCCGCCGCTCGCCCTCTCGTCACTGTCCAACACCTTGAATCGGACATGGCCACCGATGGTGCCAGCGTTCCTCTTCCCCACCTATTTCTCTTTGCCCAAAACCCTAGTTCCCTTGATTCTCTGTGCGACCACCGACCGGCCGCCGCTCGCCCTCTGGTCACCGTCTAACACCTTGAATCGGACATGGCCACCGATGGTGCCAGCATTCCTCTTCCCCACCTATTTCTCTTTGCCCAAAATCCTAGTTCCCTTGATTCTCTCTGCCACCCCCGACCCATAGAAATGGCCGCCGCTCGCCCTCTCGTCACCGTCCAACACCTTGAATCGGACAAGACCCACCTGTTTGTATGAAGAAGACGCACCAATTTAGGGTTTTAGATGGAGAGGGTAGATAAGGAATACATCCCTCTTACCACGGTAAGATTTGGTTTTTTTGTTGACTCCAGTAAGAGGACGGTCAGAGGCAGGGAATCTGATTGCTGATTTTGCTGTTAGGTAAACACTTTTACCTCTTACACGGGTAAGCATCTCTTAACGGGTAAGAGATTAGTAAACGGAGCCTAAGTTTTTTTTTAATTACAGAATCTTGAAATATGATTTATGGAAGTATATTCCCAAAGTAAAAATACAGTTTGTTCTTCATTTCCCTAAAACTAGAAAAAAGAACTCTTCTTAATACATAATGGGTAGTCGATCATCATCATGAATTATTACAGATTGGTATGACTTATAAATGTTGACTTTAAACAATTAGTTTATTCATGACCGAAACGTTGCCATTTCTTTTTTTAGAATTTAAAGTAACTTGGGTGTTTATAGCATCTAATATAGGTACCGTGATTTATCGTCAATCAAGTTTAATTTAAAAGTCGTTTTTTGTTTCTAACATGTAGCTTAGCAAATGAACATAGCGACTTTGCCCAAATATGAGACATGTCTCGGGTTCAATTCCAGGACTCCACCTGGGCTCAGCTGTTAGGTGAACCAAAAAATGCTCTCTCATATTGGTGTCCTTAGAAGCGAATTTCATGTAGAACCGATAAGGTTACTGGTAATAAACCTTTTTCCTAAAAAATAAGTGTTTTTTATATCTGAAATAGTATAATATAATGGATGTAAATAAATAATAACCCATGTTTTTTGTATTATTATATCTAATTATTGAGCAATAATAATAAATATTTGCATGTTTTGTTATCTTTTAATTGTTTATGGAATGAAAAGTCCCCATTTTTGGACGTTGTTGGGTACCAAAACCTTAAAATATTTCATGCTCTCACTTGCTACAAAATATGGCACATTTATATATAACATTAATATAAATTTCAATTTATGGCACCCTAAAATGAACTAAATTCTAGAAATGACACCTAGGTTTTCATGAATGACATCTAGAACCCTGTTCTTTTTCCTCTAAACTGTAAATACCCATTTGATTCTGGAGCTTCTTTAATGTTGGGTTGCGAAAACCGTACACGCAACAGAAAACGAAACAGTAACCTCTCAACAATCCATACGAGACTAGATTGAATGTTTCAAAAAATTTATTTTCTTTGGTTGCACGAACATTTGATGAAGTTGTTAAATCCAACGAGAAACCTTAGGGACAACGTCTTCATGGTATTAATGCGAATCAATTGATCATATTTACATCTTGTTGGTGATTTGTATCACTAATATCATTTAAGTGTAATGAGATTAATTTGTTAACCAATGTAATCATGATAAATATCGAACAAGTAAGGAAGGTGCGGAGTACACACTTGTTTGAGTTTATTTTGATTTAGGAGCGAAGCCCCTAAACGACAGGGGTCTGGGGGCAGTGGCGGGATCCAAGGGGCAGAGCCCCTGGCTGGGGTCGAGTTGCCAGGTCAACTTGAAATTTTTTTATTCGGGTAATATTGCTTTGTGAAAAATGCTTCAAAAATCCGAATTTGAAATTTTAAACCCGGTTTTGACTCTGTTTTGAAAACCTGGGTTGTTGATTTTTTAAAACTATCGTATGGCAATTTTCGACCGTTTGAGGGAAAAGCTACGATTTGGTCACTTGATTTTCGGTACACAAATTTCATAACACGAAAACTCTCTGTTCGGGAAAACCACTGAATTTTATCCGATTAAAATTTCGATTGTACCATCGAAATACTTCAGTCTGAAAGTGGTACACGACTTTCAGTGGAATCCAAGCAATCGAAAACCAGAATTTCTAACACATCCTATATCTAGAGCGAAGATTCCTTTCTTTTTATTGCTAAGCATGAAAACTCGAAGGGGTAGTTGTATTCAAGAGGGACGAACAAATGAGAGAAACAATAATAGTTAAAATTGCTAATATATGATATTATTCAGGATATATTATAATGTAGGCCCACCTACTATTTTGTGTGGCAGATTTCACATATTACTATCTCAATCATCGGTTAAAAGTTATGTAAAGCCATATGTGATGCGTAGGCCCAATGAGTGGGTTGTCGATAGACTTGTGTGTGGAAATATCTGGTCATTAATCAATTTTCAATTTCATTAACGTTACAGAAGTAACTAAAATTATCACTGGATTATTTTACCATCATGTAGTTTTAACCGTTGGACTTTAAATTTTACACTTTTGAAAATCCATACAAAAGCAGTTAAAAGTTTAATCCATTGACATGCATGATTAACAAATTTAAATATACATGACACATTGTTTTTGATTAACCTGGATATTCAACCCGCTATGCGAGCCGACTAATCCCAAGATGACAATTTGCTTTGCAGATAGCCTGAAGTCACCGTATTTGAACCTCCGTGGCTGCAAGGGGATTTTTATTCCTCCTTGAATTTGAACCTGAGACCTACATGTACTTTTGACTTTTGGAGTCAAGCTCAAACCAATCAGACACCACTCTTGTGGTTTACATGACACAGTTTTGTAACATATATGAAATATACATGACACAGTTATTTAGTTCGACTGTTGAGTAGTTTGGAAAAAGTTTGAGAACCGAAAACCGAATAACACATAACGACATACAATTGTGGATGGTTCATAATGTTAAAAGGAGGACTGTAATGAACAAGATTTAACTTTGAAGGACTATTTATGTTAAAAACGTAATCTTGAAAACAATGTTGTAATTTACTGAAAGTAACAAAATGAAAAAGAAGATGGAAGGGTGAGAAGAATCCACGAAACAGCATTGACCCCCCATCTCCATATCAATATCAATAATGGATGAGCTGTTCTTCCCTTGAAAATTCCTACTTTCAACCTCTTCTTCAACCCCCCTCCAAACCCTTTCCTTTATCGTTCCGTTTCTGTTCACCATCTCTAATCATCTAACAATCCTTCTTCTCTTTTGCGAAAACTCTTCGTCAAATTTGATTCTAACAACACCCATCTCAGGTTTCTGATCAGAATTGCACGATCCGGTTGATTCAAGGTATAACCCTTTTGAGGCACTTGAATCCTTTTGTTTCTGTTCGAATTTCTGATATACCCATTTGAATTAACTTCCCAAAACCTCGAATTTGTTTATTGATCAGAAATCGGGGCGCTTCGAATCCTCAATTAGATGGGTAATTGCTGTGCTGTACCTAGTACTACCGATTCCGATTTCGAGAAGAAAAAGGGGAAGAACAAGCCGAACCCATTTGCTTTAGACCAGGGTGCTACGGTTCCATCTGGAAATGGATACAAATCGTATGTGTTAGAAAACCCAACTGGTCATGAAATCGAGCAAACATATGTTCTTGGTAAGGAGTTGGGTAGGGGAGAATTTGGGGTTACTTATATGTGTACTGATAAAATAAGTGGTGAAGTTTTTGCTTGTAAATCGATATCGAAAAAGAAGTTGAGAACTAGGGTTGATATTGAAGATGTGAGGAGGGAAGTTGAGATCATGAAGCATATGCCACCTCATTCCAATATTGTGACCTTAAAGGATACTTATGAAGATGATAGTGCTGTTCATTTGGTTATGGAGTTGTGTGAAGGTGGAGAATTGTTTGATCGGATTGTTGCTAGAGGTCATTACACCGAGAGGGCGGCTGCCGGTGTCACGAAAACCATTGTTGAGGTTATTCAGGTGAGAATTTATGTCTTTGAATCTAAATTATTGAGTTATGTTTATTGGTTTTTGGAGATTGTGATCAAGTTTGTGGTTTAATTGACACTTGTAGATCATGCTAATCAACTTATGTGACTTTAAAAGACCATATTGGCAACCGTACGATAGCTTATTGAAAGACGTTTGTTTAGGCATGGGGTTTAGAAGCTAGCTTTTTGAAAGATACCCCGAGTAATGTTTTCAACAAGCTCAAAGGGCTCTTTTTAAAAGAAAATTCCAATTATACCCCTTTATCTTGTTTCAAATAATTTTTTAACATGTAATTTTAGGTCATTTTATTTTGTCGTCTAGCTTATGAGCTAGTTTTTACCAAATATGACTAGTTTATTAGCTTACTAGTCAACAACTAGCTTTTCGGCTAATGGAGTAACATCTAGCTTGCCAAGTATAGACTTTATGCGAATTGGAATTGGACTCGTGTTAGGATCAATATCGCACATGCACACATTAGTTAAAGACTCAATACTACATTATTTAACAACCTGTTAATCATTGCCTAGATTCTTGTTATACAATTAATGAATTTGATTAGTCGTTATACCTTATTCACCGCATTATGCGCATGTGAATACGATTGTAATTCCTGGTAATTGATCGATGTTTCTACATACTTGATAAGTCTAATGTCTGAAATTTGAGAAATCTATCTTAAACTCGTTCTGCAATCCGGATAGAGGGACGAGTTCACTGTTTTATGTTTACAACACAACGATTTTTCCTACAAAATCAAAACTTTCTGGTACCCTTTTGTGGGCATTGTGTTCTTGATCACCTGACAAAAGAAAGATCATGTTGTTTTAATGTTTTCTGATTGTTTTTTTTCCAGATGTGCCACAAGCATGGCGTTATGCACCGGGATCTTAAACCCGAGAACTTTTTGTTTGCAAACAAGAAAGAAACAGCAGCCTTGAAGGCCATTGATTTTGGGTTATCTGTTTTCTTCAAACCAGGTAAAAGATCATCGATTATTTATAATTTCATATAAATATGATGATCATTTTCAATTTTATAAGACGTCAGTGTTGCTTGATGTTTCCTTAAATGATCTTTTAAATTTATGTAGGTGAGAGATTCAACGAGATTGTAGGCAGCCCATACTACATGGCTCCGGAGGTCCTAAAACGAAACTATGGCCCAGAGGTTGACGTATGGAGCGCTGGAGTCATCCTATACATATTGCTTTGTGGTGTCCCACCGTTTTGGGCAGGTCAGTTTGATTCATAACGTTAAATATATGCTCAAAGAAGTAGAAAATCATCCGGCTTAGATTCATACAAACTTGCATGCATACTTACGCATGTTTGGCAACCATAAACTAGCTTATCTTTTGAGCTTATTGAAAAATCCTGTTTGGTTTGCCATAAGCTAGCTTTTTGAAAAAAAAACTACTTCAAGTAGCATTTCAATAAGCTTCATGGGTTCTTTCCACTCTTTCCAAGTATACCCCTTATATTTTTCCAATTAATTTTTCAACATGTCCTCTTGGGTCATTTTACATTATCATCCAACTAGTTTTTTTACCAAACATGACTAGTTTATCAGTCAACAACCAACTTATCAACCGAAAGCCAACTTTTCAGACAGTTTGCCAAACATAGACATAAACAATACAAAAGCTACCAAAGGGCCTTCGGCCTAGCGGTATCGTAGCCCTTGGCTTCCTAGGAGGTCAAGGGTTCAAACCTCACAAAAGGTGAGGAGGGTGTGTGAGTTTATTTGTTGCATTTGCCGTATATAAATATTATATACTTCAAAAAAAAAAAACAATCCAAAAGCTCACTCCATCCCAACTTTCATCATTACACTTTCTTGGGACCGTTTTAACGTGTAATTGTTATAGAATATTGATAGCATTTTTTTGGTCCATATGATTGTTTTATTTTGTTCTTTTTTGAAAGATATTTTAAATATTTGACTAATAGTCAAACACTTCCATTAAATTTATGCACAATTGGATGTTTTGCGATGGAGTGAGTAGTATTTTAAAGTATGCCTGGTTTTGATTACAGAAACCGAGCAAGGAGTTGCGCAGGCAATCATTCGATCGGTTGTAGATTTCAAAAGGGATCCTTGGCCAAAGGTGTCCGAGACTGCAAAGGATCTTGTCAAGAAGATGCTCAATCCTGACCCCAAGTTGCGTCTTACCGCTCAAGAAGTTCTAGGTAATGTCAAGATTCCCTCTTTTTGGTGATCATAAACCAAACCAAACAAACCTAGTATATCCTACTCAAAAGAGTAGGGTCTGAGGGGGTAGGATGTACGCAAACCTAATGTTTCTTTGGAGACGCCCGACTTGTGTCGAAACATATGTCTTCTTTTTCCATGTGTTGGTCTGGTAATAATTCACAAATTTATCATATAAAGTTAAGCTTTCTGTTTATGAACTTATTTCAGATCATCCGTGGATACAAAATGCGAAAAAGGCTCCCAACGTTTCTTTAGGTGAAACCGTGAAAGCAAGACTGAAGCAATTCTCCATAATGAACAAGCTCAAGAAGAGAGCTTTAAGGGTATATAATAAATTTGTTATCTTGGGGGTATTCTTGCTTATTTTCTTGTTCCGGGTGTCATTATTCTAAGTCTCGATGATAACAAACTTACAGGTAATCGCGGAGCATTTATCTGCGGAAGAAGTGGCGGGAATAAAACAAGGATTTGATTTGATGGATACTAGCAAGCAAGGGAAGATTAACATTGTTGAGTTGAAAGCTGGCTTGCAGAAACTTGGCCAACAGATCCCCGATGCAGATCTTCAGATACTTATGGATGCTGTAAGTTTTACGTTCTATAGCAATCTCGTATTTTTTAGATATCGCACAGATTGTTTGGTATGAAATGAACTCATTGTGATTAAGTTTTAAACAAGAAAAAATGGTATAAAAGAACGAGTTTGCTTTTTTACCTCAAGTAATCATGGAAACAGTCGTTCTACTTTTTGGGGTAGATGACCAGTCTGCATACATCTCACCCGGCCCTGACACTGCTTTCGAGTGGGATATACCGGGTGTTTTTAGTCTGGTTTAGTTTATTTGATTATATAAAATGCAGCAAACTAGAAACTTATAAGAGATTAAAATGTTAAAATAAATTCTAATCCGGGGCTCGAGTATTTGAAATAAAAAGTAGTTCCTTTTTTGGGACGGAGGGATTAACGAAAGATATTCCTACAGGGAGACGTCGACAAGGATGGATACTTGAACTACGGAGAATTTGTTGCAATTTCCGTTCACTTGAGAAAGATGGGGAATGATGATCATCTTAAGGACGCTTTTTCATTCTTTGATCAAAATAAAAGCGGATATATAGAGATTGATGAACTAAGGGAAGCCTTAGCCGATGAGATTGAAACCAACAATGAAGAAGTCATCGCTGCCATTATTCATGACGTCGACACAGATAAGGTTCGTTCAATTCACGTAATCCGCTTTAGATCATCTCCAACAAATTCTCCATAATTTCTACAAAACAGATAAAAGCAAAAGTTAGAATCTCCTAAAAGAAATTACTTTCAACACCGAACAATCATATTATTAAAATATTCAATACATTTAGCATCCGGAAAGAAAACACGAAAAGAAGATATGAAGTAAAACTTAACGGTTTGTTGACGATTGCAGGATGGACGGATAAGTTTTGAGGAGTTCACAGCGATGATGAAGGCAGGAACCGATTGGCGGAAAGCATCACGACAGTATTCACGAGAACGTTACAATAACCTTAGCTTGAAGTTGTTTAAAGACGGGTCGATGCACTTAACGGATTAGGGAAAGATAACCACACAGTTTCCGGTAACGAAAAAATGATCCTTGATCTTGTTCTTTTATATGTCGATTTTCGATTCTTGTAATATTTTGGTGGGGGGTTTTAATTCATTTCATTTGGGGGTAGACTAAGTTTCCCAGGTGTTGATTTATGTTCTTTTCATGAGTTTCATTTATGGGGGAGTAAAGTAAAGTAAAGAAAGAAGGGTTGTTTATGGCTGTAAATATGTATCTTGCTTTTGTAATTGTTCAAAAGTACGAAGAATTCGAGTTGCAAGTTATAATATCATGATATCGTGGTTTTTTCTCCGCTTTGATTCGATATATTTTCGTGTGTTTGATGTCGTGATTATGAGCGTGCGTTGGTGATAAAAGAATTGATTATCGGTAATCTCAATTGGCCTCACACGCAGGGGCATAATACAAGCCTTAAAAACCCCGGGGGCCGAGCCAACGTGTCATACAAATGAGTCTAATTTGTTTCGTATGTAATACAATCTAAACAAACTTTACCAAAATGAAGAATGTACGATGGTTAATAAGGGGTTGTTTACTGAGCTCTTATCAAATGTCATTTATCTTACCGTGCGAGCATGACATAGAGTAACTCCTTCGTAAAATAGTAAGATCATGTATGGGGGCTGACGCCTGTCCAGTGCCAAAAAGGGGTAAAGAAGGTTCGAAAATAAGTAACAAAAACTTTGAAAAAAAATTAAAAAAAATCATTTGTACTCGTAACTCGGTGTCGTGTTTGCCTTTGGTACTTCTTATGATCCGTCACTGTTCACTCGAAACCCGCCTTCAAGAATCCCAATGCGACGGGATATTTTTTGGCTCACTCAACGGCCGTCAGCGGCTAAGGCTAGTGGGACGGCTTTAGATCGAACTCATGATCTGTCTTGTATTTGGACAAAATTATCTCACTTTTTTACCGACTGAGCTACATGTCGGAAGCCCAATCATACAGTATATATGTCATTTAAACAGGAACACGAGATATATGTTGTTTCTTTGGACCACTTAAAATTCGTTTTTTGCATTGCGATTAAAGTTATGTAAACGTTTAAAAAGTTTAGTTAAGCAAAGGGCCCTACAAACACTAATAATGGAGATGACACTACAAACTTCATTACAAAACTACAAAATTAAGCAATCATTTCATTGGTAATCAATTCCACCGTTTAAAATAAAATTCACATTCAAATTCCAACCAATAAAATACTAAAATATAATTATATATAAATACTGAAATAAAATCAAGATAATTAAATAAAACAAGTAGCTACCCATACTATGTACATAAAATCAGAGGTATATTCAAACGAGAACATTAACAATTTAAAAAAGCAAGAAAAATGCTGTTAATATACAAAGTCATATATGATTCATGTAACAAATCATAAATGATCTGGAGGACTTTTCTCTGCGACTCAAGTGGCCTCAAAAGTCGTCCGCTTCTATTTAATGTAAAACACATGTAATTTTGTACATTAACGACATTTTTCTTGTTTTCTGAAATGGTTAGCGTCCTCGTTTGAATCTTCTTCCATAAATTTATATTTCTTTTAATTTAAAATTCGTGGATATATTTACAGATGTTGAAAGATATACCCGCTCGATATATATATATATAGGTGGAGGTTCAAACGAGAACCCCTGTGATTTACGAGAATGCGAGAACAACCCAATAACCTCAAACTTTTTTAATTAATAAATTAACTTTTATTATATATAAATAATTTAATAAGGACAATAATGTAATTAAGTAATTTTTATAATTTTTATTTTATTTTAATTAACCATAATTATCTTTTCACGTT